TTATTCATTGACCGTTGTAATCTCGTGAGTTGTCCATTCTTCTTCATAACAGCGAACATTGTCATTCGACTGTTTAGTAATTTGTCAATTACTAAAGCATGGTCAGCACATGAAGACGTGTTACTTCGTTAAACATATGTACACTTTGTATGCATTGCATCGACACCCGGTATATCGGTGTACCAAGCGTCACAACAACTTTTTTGCATCACCCCACCATCATTTCAAGCTAAAAATATTTTCTTCTATAATTCTATAGATTTTCCTTTTTTCAAAATGGTATCTACATTTTTGACATATATACTTTCAATGAAATTATTGATATTCATATTATTAAATATTTCTTCTAAGTAATTTTGTTTAGTTCTTTTTAAAAACTTTCTGGAATCCTTTCAGTCTACTGGATTTCTTGTTCAAAAGAACACAAATTTGTCTTGTACAACACACTTCTAATTGTAATAATTTCAAAGATATTCAAATAAGCGTTTCTCGCCCCTTTAAGAGCTGTTTCAACCCCTTCAACATGAAGCATGGCTTAAAAAGAAATATGAGTAAAATAATTCTTTGAGAACTACAATTTGCTGAAGCTAATTCTTATTATACTCGTGTATTTCGTTCACATTTGTATTTGTTCAATTGTACAGGGTGCAAACAACCCCTAAATATATTTACTGAGATATCTCGAAAATGGTGCATAATAGAAAAAAATTGTTTAGACATAAACTGTGTATTTTTAAATGTAAAATATACCTGTGCAAATAATTTTTCAAACTAATCATTTATTTAAACAATTTGTTGAAAAATTCGAATTTTTCTGAATTGCCGTAGTAAACTGTTAAGACAGATTCATGGATGCTTTATATAAAACTATATCAATTTCAATTATCTTCCAAAAATACATATATAATAAAATCTAAATTTCCATAAAAATTCATACAAATTGTTCATAAAGTATGCTTCATATTAAATTGTGTTTAACATTATATATATTCAATACTGTATTTTTATAAATACATTTATAAAGGTACATATTTTCTACGAATTTTTTATATATCAGCTTGAAACAAACAGTGGGGGAGGGTGGTATCCAAGGTTGTCATGGACACCGTGTACACCGAGATGATAAATTTCCACAAGCAATACCGATGACGAAGCGTATCCTATGTCCTATGTTAGACATTGTTGTGTACCGATGCTACGGAACCGCATTCGTAAACATTCTCTGACAAACGGTAGGCAGAGGCGTAGCTCACGGTCGCAGCGCGGCGCGGCGCCTCCAATAATCCTCGAGTGTGAATTCTCCAGCGAAATATCGAAACTCGTCCATGACCGTGCAATCCGCGGTTAAATGTAATGTACGATCGAACTTGAACGGTACATGGAAATTGCAAGAGATTCTGTGAAATTACTGAGACGTTACCAAAGCGATGAGGGGGTGGCTTACATCGATTATGTGTAGAGCACAGATACGGTACTGTATGGTATCATTGACACGTTCATATATATACATATATTAATATATACACATATATACGTATATATCACCCATTTAATATTATATAATATCTAGTTATAATCATTATTCAATAATATTGTTTGTTGAACCTTAAACATTTAGTTGAATACCATATGTTTATATGGCGATATATCTATTACATATATCTATTGCGACATATAATATTATATTATCGTATTAATATTATATAATATAATAATTGCGTTATGATATAAT